ATAGGATGGAATTAAATGTCTCCGTGGTTTACATTAATCGTGCAACATTCTAATCAGGCTTATCGAAATATCAGATGGCCGATATCCACGTACAATAATTGGCCCTCTTCCCGCGGTACATAATCCACGGATTGATGCGTCCACGACTACGTTACGTAAATTGCTCATTCTATTACCAGATGTACACTGTCTTCTAGTCATTTCTAAGGAAAAAAAAAAAAAAAAACAAAATACGTGAAACAAGAGAAATATTGTTTAAATCGTGCACTAAACGAAACTGATGTAATCGCCACACATTGCGAATGTTTCAAAATTGTACATATGTATCCGTGTGTTCAAACTTTTTGTTCAAATATTTATCCATTACAATTTCGATATTTTCCGTGATTAATTATTATTTTCCGCTGTTGATTATTATTAAAGTAAAGATATAATTCAATGTTTAAAACATTATTATTATATATTTATATTATACTTATTTAATTAATTTTACTTATTTACGTTTCATGAAAATATCATTTTCGTGAAAAAACCTTATCCAACGAAAGAAGATAATAAACGATACTTGTTGCTATATATTATTGCAGATTGTTATGTATTTTAGTAATGTCAATGTGTAAAATTCCACAGAATGAATATAATATACAATATAATATAATTTTATGTAATATATATATGAAAAATATGATAACATGATAAAATATCCAAAGTACAACATTTTTCATTCACACATACCTATTTCGTGCGTAAAAGTTCTGCTTCTTTTAGAATTACATTTTAGACAATACGAATTCATACAAAAACTTCAAAGCAGTTCACTTGTAGCAGAGATTGACGAAATTTGATCACCTTCAGATCATTATCAATCGATGACGCGTATTCAGCCGATCGTCAGCTTAACCAAGGAGAGGCGATAAAATGTTTCTTTTCTTTCCACAGAAATAAATTATCAACAGTTACAGTTTTTAGACAAACGACGTACGATGTAAAATTAAATATCAACACCGTCATAAATATTAACAAGATAGTCACGGTGTGTTCGATGCGAGAGATAACCGAACAGAAAACTTACTTAGGTGAAGCGACTGGCAGGAAAAAGTACGAGAAAAGTTCTATGTGCATTTGATGTATCGGCTTCGGCGGCCGGATAGATGGATTACAATCATTCCGGTAGCAGGGGTGGTCAAATACCGTGACCATGCGTGCCTCAAACCTATCCTCGGACGTTACATGTACGCACTTTCGAGTGCACACGTGGCCTCGGTGAACGTGCATGGTACACTTCTGTCGTGCAATACCGGCAAGGACGCGTCTTCCGCTACCGGAATCTGTTTTCCGTCGTTGGAATTTTGGAACGTCGAATATATATATAATTTCTGTTATCTCCGAAAGCTACTAGACTCGCTTTAACGCTTTAGTTCTGTCGAGTACATACAATACACCTTCACGAGAAATGGACGTTTATATGTATACAGAGAGCGTAAATTAAGTTTCGGAATAAGTAGCTAAGCTACATTTGTTTCAAAGTTGGAAAAATTAAACAGCACGAGGAGTATATAAGTACTGTGATAAATAATAAATATTAGAAATAGAAAATACTCTCAAAACTTCTGAGTGAGAATAATGTTTTCAAGAAATGGACGCTCATGTTCACAGAGTATACATATTATAGATATTTTCATTCCTCATTTTATACGTGAAACATTGACGTTCGAATTGGAATTATACTGTAATAAAAATCATTGTTAAATTCAGGAAACAGAAAACGTAATTATAAGCATTTCAACCATAGTAATCACAAGTGTGCCGAAGCGGTTAATAAGAAAAAAAAACTGGATTAATAAAAAAAAAGGAAACGTATGAAAATCGATGTTTTTTATATTAAACGTCATATTACCTAAACAGGAAATTTATAATTTAGATATATAGAACATTTATTTCATACAACAATATTCTTGTACGAATGAATGAATGGCGTTATAATTCTATTTACTTTATTATACTTTTTGTTCTGATTATTTTTTAATGTAACATTAAAAAAAAATTATTCTTTAATGTAAAATTAAAAATATTATTTAGTAGCAATTTATGCGCATAAAGTCTCATTGCTTAACTAATTAAGCAACAAGTGGATAACTAATTTATGTTTTAGATTCATTGGCGTCTACTTAAGTAAATATGTGATATATATAACGTTTTAAAACTTGGCTAACACTCGTGATTACATTGATAAAATTTAAAATCATGTACGTACATATAAAAATTGCAAAACAATTATCGCAAACGTAATGAAAAATTAGTACTACGCAGCAGAAATAGCAAATACTTAAAATAAGTATTAAAGATGATTGCACTGGATATTGAAGGTCATATAATTTAAATATTTTCGCAATTTGTGCGAAATGTATACTTACATTAAATATCTTGTAATTTATACATGTATATATATTTAGATTTATTTCAAATTTACCAATATAATCATGTGTCTCAAAATATAGTATTAATAAAACTTCAAACTATTTTATGTAACATACATAGATATATCTATTCTTATAAACGTTCTAATTTTATGAGCAACTTGTGTATATATATATATATATATATATATATATATATATATATATATATATGAGTGTGTGTGTGTAGATATGTACCTACGTAACTTGTTAATATTTCTATTGTTAAGGAAAACTCGCGATTTATTTGCCTGTTTATAATACTAACCTGTCGTTAGTATTACGTGCAGAGTTGCTTCCCCCTACATTTTCCTCTCAATTTTTAAAAGCGGAAGCCAAATGCTTGTTACACCGTCGTAGGAAGGGAGGGGCCGATTTGGATGTTCAACAAACCCCATGTAATACTACTGAATCCTCGTCGGAATATTGTTCTTGCGTTTATTGAGGAAAAATACAGATTCGTAATCCTGCGAGAGTGAACGATTCTAAAATAGGAAATCTTACGATTTCCTAACAAATTGAAGTAATGTATTATGAGATAATCTCGAATTCTATCTCTTCTCTTACACTTTAAAAGATTTTAATAAACGTATGAGTGTGACTGAAAGAAGATTAAAATTTTTTTTCAAACTACCTTGAATATTTCATCATCTTGAAAACACGCCTATTTTTGTACATTTTTATATTCTTATGAACATAATAGAACTAGGACGTAAATAGGAACTTGTCTCATACTCTGAGTATAATTGTACTTTGAATATTTCATTAGTTTATAAACTGTAATTAAATTATGAGTATTACAAGTAGATCGCAGGTTTTCGTGCATTTTTATATTTTCATGAATATAACTAAAGATATTGGGACGTAAATAATTTATTTCGTTTGATAAATATTATAACTCAACTTCAAATTTCTCATAAATACACAAGTCTTATAAATAGTAACTAAATTGCAGACTGTAAAATAATAAATAAAGAACACTACATAAAATATCCAAAAAAAGAAATTTATCAGAACATTTAATTGACGAGACAAGTTTCTATTCAAGTTCGTAGAAATATAAAAAATACGATAAAACTAGTGATAACTGGAAAAGCATATAACGAGTGTGAGTGTATGTGTGTGTGTGTGTGTGTGTGTATGTGACGAATACACTGATATTTATGTACCAGAAATTTTTGGTATAAAATGAATTATCTACGTTGCCAAATTAAATATTATTTTACCATTTGTTTCGTTTGCGAACAGAGTAAAATTTTTGAAAGGGAATGATATGACTTTTTGAGATGGTAGAGTCTGTATCTACTCCAAGGTCGGAAAAGCGCAGAAATATCTAGGTCAGAAATGAAAATCAGAAGTTTCTGACGATCGAGAGATCGACTGGTCAATGGAGATGCGGTCTTATTGCACTGAATGCCAGAACGTGAATGTGGTCGTAGCACAGGAAGAAGGCAGGGGCACATCCGTATCGTGGTCAGAACCCGTGACCCCCCGTACGTACACGTGTAAACGTGCATATGCCCGTCCACGCAACACATACGATCCGCGGTTTTACCAAGGATTATCTCCCAACCCTTTCTACCACCTTCAACACCGCTCCGGTTGCCGTTCTGAAATATTAGAGCACCGAATCTATATACCTGGTACTTTTGACAACCTACTTCTGACTTTGTCTGATTAAGTGAGCTTCGTGCTGCGGAATGTGACAAATTGGTCAACAAATCTTCTCGAAGTGCTGTGAAAAGTCTGTATATGAGTAAAAATTTTAAAACAATCACCAAGTTATAGCAAGCAAGATAATATTTGAAATCGTATTTAAAAATTTTCTTAAATTAATCACAGCGATTATATAAACGCGTTTAAATAATTTCTATGTCTGAATGTGAAAATTTAAATTCAAAGTATTTATTTATCATAATTATTTAATAATTATTATCTCCTGTGTAACACTTCTATTTTAAACTAATGGGCCATTAATATTATTATATCCGACAATTGAACTACAATTTCCTTAGAATATTAGAATAAGAAATAATTAGAATTAAAATATCAAATAATAAATAATATTTATATAAAGGTAAAGTATTTCCTTTCAATCATCGTAATTATACTAACTTATGATTAACATGTGTATACAATTCTTATTTCCTATTTTCCATTTTACATATAAAGTAAAATAAATTTCATGCAAGTTTCCCTTTTACTATTATATTATAGTATAAAAATTGGCGTTAATTGCCTTGAAATTTTAATTTTAACAACAGTTTCTTGCAATGTAAGTAAATTCGCCAAGGTATAATGGAAAGTGGCAAATTGATATCGGGGAATTAGCTTAGTGGCAAGTTGAAGTGCTCAAGAGGGGAGAAATTGGTAGGGTGGCCAATTGGCTGTGTAATGTTAGAAGGGGTTACTTTTCAACGATGTTATATTCGCAGATGCCAACGTCAAGACGGTGTTACGTTTCTTCCGTATGAATATCATAAATGAAATACATTAATGGTCATTCGGTTGAAATTATCATCGATAGACAATTGTACGGTTTACCTGTACTTGATCTGGTTTCGTATTTGCAGCCATCCATGCCTCTACAAACGTGTCCATAGCGCTCTGAAAATCCATTCCCTTGTAAAGAGTTCCTCAATAATTATCCTGGGACTCGGAAGTCGCCGCCATTTTCAATTTTTCACTGACATTTATCGCTTCGATTATTTTCACTGATCGATGCCCGTTCTCAGGTTTAATTACAATTTGAATTACGATTTCTATTACACCTTCTATTACACCGCTATGTGCCTTGTAAATATGAATAATACTTCGTAATGATCGAATCACAATATCGATTCATGTTCTAAATGTAATGTTTAAATCTATCCGATAATTTTTAATGTCAACAATGTCAATGCCGTAGATGCACATTCTAATAAAGGGTATACACTTTGGTTTCAGATTTTCTTTGAATTGAATTACATTCGATTATAGTCTTACAACGGAAGATTTCTGTTTCTATCGCGTCGTCGTTAGAAATATATTTTAATATTCGAATGACAAAACCGATTGGATCAGTAAACTAGTCGGGCAATTCGACTGCGTGCACTTACGACTAGATTGCAAAGAACGCTTCTGGACGCACGTGTTTGCAACAGTATGTATGGAAATTCAGTGAAAACAGACCGTGTATGCGGGACTTACGTTGCAATAGTACAAAATTTCAGTTTCTATCTATTATATATTACGATTACTTTCTTTTCTTTTCGCAGCAAAAGTTCACCATACAGTTTATATAGAAACACTATATTAGCATCCGCACTGGTAAAAATCGTTTCCAAAACACTGCAGTAATTTTCGTCAACCTTCGTGAAAGAGTTTAACAGTACGTGTTCTCGATTAAGCGAAAATTGTCACTAAATCAGAATCAATCGTCGATCCTTCGGTTCTTAATCGGCTTGATCGATCAAGCTCTCGTCGAGCTCGGAAAGTTTCAATGTCATCGTTAAAAAAATCACTCCGAACGATCGATAACGGATCTTAATCTTAAAAAACGATCTCACGGTTGTTAAACGTACATCGTTCAATGAACACTACTTCTCAGTCATGTTTCTTTCGAAAACTTAACCTCAATTGCCGCCGATTGCGAAAGAAAGTCCAGTTTCCCCGTGGCGGAACGCAATGTCTCTTGATCATGTCTCTCCGAAATCCCGATCAGAATGCGAACTGGTCGTGGACATTATGCACGACGCTAGAAAAAAAAAAAAAAAAGGAATACACGAACCGTCGAGAATAACACGTTCGCATGGGACGGCGTTCGAGCCGCAACTGTGCGTATCGAAGCGTCGCGGCGCTGGTTCTGCCCCTACGACGCCCTACCCGCCGTCGCTGTCACCCCACCACCGCGCCAGCTACCATCGCCCACCGTCGAGGACTATCCTGGTCCTCACTCGGATGGTTCACCCTCAAACCCTCCGGAACTACCTTCCTCATCCGTGCAGTTTCCCACTTCTCTCTTTCCTCTTTCCGTCTCTTCTCCCCCCCCCCCCGCGCTCTCTTTTTTTCACTCTATCCTATCTTCATTTTTTTTCCTCTTCTCTCGTACGATCGACTATAATACAATTACCTCTATCTCGCTCCCTTGCTCATTCGACACGATCTTTCTCTTTCTTATCCACCTCTGTCGTTTTTTTTTTTTTTTTTTCATCTATTTCCCTTCTTTCTCCGTTACATTTTCTTTGAAAGTTACCCCGGTCCTTCGATCCCCCGTTGTCTTCCCTTCTATTTTCTCTTACTTCGTCTTATTCACCCCTTTCGCCTTACGTCTGCTTGTATCAGCTCTTCTCTTTCTCTCTTCGAGTATAGTTGCTGTTTGTCCCTTCTCTCTCTCTCTCTCTCTCTCTCCTTCTTTGTAATTCGACTCCCACCTCTCCAGTCCGGGAGCTAGCTTTCCCATATACCCCGCTCTTCTTAGCTGTACCACTTTCAGCCCGGGGGTGTGTCTAGAGATAAGATGCACGTACACAGTTGCACCTGTGTACCTGCAACACGCTACGCGGAACGCCTGGTCGCGGGCGTCGCGGACCAGGGGCCGAAAGAAGGAGAATTAAGATCCCTCGCAGAGATTTCGATTGTCCTTTCTTCGGCCATGGCTTCGTCCTTCTGCATCACCCTTCTGCGTCACTCCCGTTTATTTGCGATCTGCCTCTGCAAAAACTATTCCGCGGAAACGGTTTAAGTTTGACATACTTCTTGATATTGGCTGTGAATTTCCTTAATTCCCAGGAAAATTTATACACGCACACGGAACAGAGATGAAGAATAGAAAACAAACAACTAAATATCACACGTGACAATAGAATGTTTATTCGTATTTACTTTTTTATTTTATATTTCACGGTAAACGATATTCCTGTGGAAATAAATTTCTTGTCCGATCTTTCTTTGAAATAGCTTTTGTTGTTGGCTAATAAAAATATAGAGATATTTATAAAGAAAGTAAAATGGTTTTTTTTATAGCAGGAAAAAAGATATTTATTATAATTTAAATATCGATACTCGTTATAACACAAATGTCCTCCTCGCATACTGTAATACTTAGATGCTTTCAAATCGTAAGAGGATGAACGCACCAAATTTGCATTTATTCGATCATTTTCGATCTCATTAATGCAGTACATAGATATAAATTTACATAGTGTACATTTTTTTATTATAGATTACTGTTAAATGTGTAAAAGTTGTAGAAAATACAACTGTTTATAATTAAGTATAGGTCATTTTTTTTTTTAACTTAATTATAATTATGTATATAAATCTATATTATATAATTTATACTTGTATAAGTTAATTCATATTAATTATAGACAAACTATAGAATACCTTATAATATTTTCATCGTAGTAAATCATAAATACTTACAATAATTAATATTATTTACAATTTAACGAAGAAGAAACATTTATGTACAAAATTAGATTATTTATAAAATTTCCAAATCTAAATGGTCTATAAATGATCTACATAGATTACGATAAACATTGCTTCTTGGTAAAATATATTAAGTATGAAATAAACTATTAATGAAATTTTTTTATTCGTGAATTAATCGTTTTTTTTTTAACATCATTACAGATGGAAATAGTTCGAAATTAAAATTAATTAAATTTAATACAGATAAATACATATTTATTAAAACTTATCTGCATACACAAAGCAACATCTTCTAATTAATAAATAAAAAAATAATAAGTTAGATTATACCTAATAAAAAATACCTTGTCGCTAATTACAATTTAGTTGTAAAATTTTGATATTTATCCAGTGGCTCCAAAAATTATTGATATATTTTCGTTCATTTCAAAGAACACAAATATAGATATCGAAATATATCACCAGAAATTATTAAAACAATTCGTTCGATTCGAATCCTCTCACAAGGTTTACAGTGATACACGATTATTTCTACCGTCAAAATGTCACAATATTAAATCGTTCGATAATTTTGATATTATCACATTTCATAAACTCGACATTTTTATACAAAATAATCGCCGACTTCGTCGATTTAATTTTGAAATAATAAATAACGTTGGTCTTCTACCCCATTCGGATGTCTTCGTATTAATCCGTATTAACAAAATCTTTCATTCTGATAAAATTTTGTAGTTTGTCAAATCGTGTTTAAGTGTAAGAACAAAGATAATGTCAGATCAAAGGGATCAACATTCGAGGGACGCTAGTTCCGTTAATTTTGGCTTCAGATTACACGATCCGAAGGAATTAATTTCTAGCTAGCATAAGCGATGACGAATAAGTAATAACGTCATTCATGGCTAACATATCTGTGAAATTTCGGTGCTTCTCACTTGTTCTCAACTGTTCTTACTTGTTCTCCTGTACACGAACATAAATTGTGACATTCGGTATTCTATCTTTTCTATGTATACGTGGGTCTCATACATGACTCATGTATGGTTTCACCTACATACAGACAGTTCAAGTAGAAATGTTCGTTAGGTATTAGATACGGAAACATCGCAAATAATATAATGAAATAAGATAACAAGCGGACTTGTTTGGCAAACACTAGAAATTGAGAAAGATTTGAAAAATAAAAATGAACGGAACACTTCAAGGTAATATCAGTTTAATCGATAATATAATACATAGTATCAATTCAATATCAGTTCAGGATAATATTTATCTGAAGAAATAATCTTATTCTAATATAATATAATATCTTATTCTATGTGATATGTAAATATCTTTCTCAACTAATTTTATATATTTGATTACGATTATTAACTCTCTAAATACATCATGAAACTTACGTAGCCACATATCCGTATTTTAAAAATTTTACTTTGCACATTTGCAAAAATGTCAAATAAACTTATTGTTAGTTTGAAATTGGAGTGAACAGCTGCAATTAACTACAACTTTTTTCTCTTAGTGAGTAAACGAAATTCTATAGAGGATTAAACTGGCAACTATAATTGAAAACCTATTTAACAGAAATCTCGAGACAACTGTCGTTACGATTGTTCAACATTCGTAACAGATTACACGGAGTAATAGATTGCTTGTATCTACCATGACGTTCCGTATCAATTCCGGTTTCCGGTGCATCAGCTATAATAATGATTACCGTTTTTAAAGTATTTCAAGAACACCGTTTCTTTTTCTATTATTTAAATTCGTTGTTATTTCTGCTTTCATTTACGAAGTTGTTCCATTTATCAAATGACGCGTTGAATGCGCACATTCGGACGTACATAACTTCACATTTAGCTAAATGAAACAGCAAAAGTCGTTTAACCTAGATTGTGAGAAAAGTTATTGATACCCATGTACGACGTTTGATTTATGTAAACGAACGGAGAGAAAAAAAAAAGTTCATCAGTCAAGATCGGCCGGCTTAATCTCGTCCAGGCTCCGATCGCGCCGCGGTATTTAACTAGATAATCTGAGGATTAAAGGGAGTGCTCGGCTGTTAATCCATTATTCACGTGACATCTGCCATTCAATGTTCTATACTGCTCCAACGGTGTTTTCACTATATCTCTTTCCCTTGATGTTACTCCAATTTACAGTCAACTTAATGAGGCTTCCTATTAAAACTTTATAGGAATATAGCATCGATTGAGTTATACGATATTCATACGAGATACAGAGTAGTAGATTATCGAGATTTTTCAAATCAGATATTTTCACTTACCATATCTCTTTAATTCAATTTCAATTTATTTGGATTTTTACTTAAGACTTTTCGAATTCACATATTTTATTTAAAGAAAAGTAGAACAGATGTAAAATTGTATAAAAAATAGTCCCAGTTACTTTTTAGTTAGAGTCAATTTGGCAAACCTAATATGGCATTACAGATCAGACAAGATTGTATAAAGTAGCATAGCGTTTGATGCGATTTAGTACAGATATTTTAAATGCGAAAAAAATTACAGTGTGTATATAAAATATTCTATACTATACTATAGTTATGAAATATTCTATACTATACTATAGTTATGAAATATTCTATACTATACTATATTAAAGTATAGAATATTTTACTATATTAAAGTATAGAATATTTTATATAGGTATAAAATATTCTATACTATACTATATTAAAATATTCTATTCTATACTATAGTTATGAGATACAGAGTGATCTTTGGATAATTAAAATTGCTTAATTCAGGTATTTTCGATTTGTTTAACTTTCAAAATTCTTTAATTCAGATTTAATTAATTCGTATATTGTATATTATATCCATGTAAAATTCTGCCGGCATTATGTACATACATATGTATATATAAAATACGGAATGGTTATAGTATACTTATAGTATACGGAATAACAATAAGTAGTCTGATTTAGGTATTCATTTTTATATTTTCTATTTTTATGTTTTATATTCCATATCAATGCATATTATACATAGTTATATATTTCTGCTTGAAATGAGATTATGGATGAGTGTATGGGAATTTGTCTACATTCCTAATATCTGGAACATCTTACATGTCGACTGAAGTTGAAAATCTTTCAGGCAAATTCCTCGTGACAGATTGAGAAAATCAAGAGATTTCGTTCGGTGATACAACATTCTACACTTTTCAAATCCAATTCTAGGCGTCAATCGGGTAAGCTTGAGCGAAAGCTTGGATTTTCGTATCAACGGAATGTTTAATCTACGTCATTTTTAATCCAAAAGTCATTGTTGCCAACAGTTGAACGTTACTTTCGACTAACTTGGAGAAATTAATATTGTAAAGAAATAAACATAATTTAGAAGCTTTCGATATTGTTAAGTTTTATATGTATTGAAAAT